GTTGTGTTGTGAATGCTTCCCACCAGAGGACGGGATCCTGCTGCGTGTAGTCGTCGAACCTCTCCAGGTTGAAAGTTGGCATCTTGTACATCTTCGGATTGTCGTCCGCGTTCGTCGACTGCAGCTTCTGGACCTCGGTCTTCAATGTATGCAGCTGACTGCTGATGGTGGTGGTCGGCGCAGCGAAGGTGCTGATGTCGCCGAGCATTGCCACTACGTGGTCAACGCGGTCCTCCAATTGGCGGCTTGAGGGTGCACTGCTGGAAGCTCCAGCAGCTGGTCCTGGTACAGCCTGTTCCAGGTCCAAAAATCGGGCATTGAGTGCCCGAGTTGCATCCTCGTGGCTCTGCACTGTGCGGCGGAGCGTCGCCAACTCCTGATGCTGTTGCGTCAGGTCCCGGTRCTGTCTCTCCAACTCTGACCGTTGGTAGTTGCAAGCATACAACAACCGCGTCACGAGTTTGGAGAGGAACTCCTTGTGCTTCTCTTCCGGTGTTGCCTCGTCGCCGTTCGGTTTAAAATGCCAGTACTTGAGTCTGTCGATGCTGTTGGCTTCATGCCGCTGCAGCAGATCCTGGGCTTCCTTGCGGCGAGCCTGGGCATCTGCGTCTGCATCGGCCTGTAGCCGCAGCTTCCCTGCTGCTGCTGCCTCTTCAGCCTGTACGCGGGCAGCCTCGACTGCCAGCAGGTGTTGTTCCTCAACCTCTATCTGAGCCAGGCAACGCTGCTTGTAGGCGGCAATGGTCTCATTGGCCAGTTGGCCTGGCAGGCCCGTCATGTTGCTGACGGGGCACTGCTGCTTACGTGGCACTGTTGATGTGGCACTGTCTGACGTGGTACTGCTGACGTGGCACTGCTGACGTGGCACTGTGTCGAACGTCACTGCTGACGTGGCACTGTGTCTGATGTGCACTGCTTACGTGGCACTATGTCTGACGTGGCAATGTGACCTGGCACTGCGGACGTGGCACTGCTGATCTGGCACTGTGATGTGGCACTGCTGACGTGGTACTGTGACTTGGCACTGCTGATCTGGCACTGTGACGTGGCACTGCTGACGTGGCACTGTACCGAAACGGGATGCATGCAAGGGGTGGGTGGGATGGAAAACGGAGGGAGGTAACCAACCCAACAATACTTTCCTCCGGCCCTAATCAACAGATAAAATAAAAAAATAAAAATAAAAGAGTACTTCCTTTTTTTTTTTTTTGTATATATCTGTCGATTTATGATGAGTAGAATATGTCAGAAGAGTATTATGAACGAGATCTAGGCTAGGTGCCGCAAAGTTTGGCTTTTACAAACTGCGATCTTGAAAAAAAAAATAAAAAAATTTGCGAAATGGAGTAAAGATGCGATTTTCAGAAAAGAACGAAATCCAGTTTCTGATAATATAGCAACCTCCGAATATGCCTAACGCAATATTGGTAGGCTTCGCAAGATTCGGTTTTCAAAAAAAAATTTGCGAGATAGAATGGAAATGCGATTTTCAGAAAAGAATAGTTTCAGTTTCCGAGAATATGACCACTTGTATCGTTATCCCAATATGCCTAGAGAACGAAAATACTGACTTCAGAAATTTCAGCTATGTATGCGAAATATCAGAGAAACGAAATGCTACTATCGGGAAATTTTCAGACAAAACGAAATGCGATTTATCAGAAATTTTCAGATATTTGTTACATAAAAACCAACTACTAATATCAGAAATTTTCAGATAGAACGAAAATGCGAATATCAGAAATTTCAGATAGTTGTTGCGAGAAAAAAAATTCAGAGATTTGACTAAGTCCTACTTGCATTACTAATGAGTGATCAATAGATCGCAAGCTGACTACTTGATTGAGCGGGTCCTCTGTATGAGAGGTCCGATCCGATACCAAACTGTTGCATACTGTAACGTGCAGACCAGAACAAGAACCGACCTTTCAATACAAAGTATAAGATAGCACAACGGAAGACTTAGATACCAGTGATCCGAACAATCAATGTTGAAATGCAGCCCTGAACATACATCATCATCATCGTTACATGGTGTGAAATGGGCCTGGCGCTTCACACAGGAAGACTGCGCCAGCCCATACCATACACAGACGAAGAGGAAGGGGATAGACGAAGAGGAGGGGGAAGATGGGAATGTCAACACCAAGTCTTCGGCACAAGCCCAAATAGTCCCTCGTCGGAATGTCTGAATCCCAAATGTCAAGTCTGGATCCAATGTCGTCAAGTCTCAAGTCACAACTCTGTCTCTCTCTGTCGTAGTCTGAGAAGTCAGGTGGCGAGAGGGTGAGAAGAGAAGGTGGACTTAGAAGAGGAAGAAGAAGAACTCTCTCTCTCTCTGTGCCCAGTACTAACCTGTGAAGTTGGCGCCTTGATGCAGGTACCACGAAGATGGAGCTGGAGCAATGGCGCCACAGGTAAGTAACACTGGCCTCCGCCAGTCTCTCTCCCACTCTACGATCTACTACCTACCAGCGCCCAGCGCTGAAGACTACAGCTACAGCTATGGCGCCCAGCGCCGAAGACTACAGCTAGTGCTACCACTACTGCCTAGCGCTGAAGACTACTGCAGCGCCGAAGACTACAGCTACAGCTATGGCGCCCAGCGCCGAAGACTACAGCTAGTGCTACCACTACTGCCTAGCGCTGAAGACTACTGCAGCGCTCCTCCTGAGTGCTGCGGCCCAATCCTGAAGACTACTACTGCCTATTGACACTACGTACCCGTGAAGTGCATGGGAACCTCCTATGTACTACGGGTGTGCCTCTTGAGCCTGGCGAAGGGAGGCAGGGGCTGCAGCTGCAGCTCCTGCTCGASCACRTGAGGAACAGGCTATTTTGGGCCTGTTCCGCATCCCTGTTTCCGTGCCTGAGTCTTAGGGGCAGGTCGAAACAATGAGGGCCTGAAAATGGCCCTCCGTTTCAGGCTGAAAACTCTGGGTCTGAAAAGACCCAGAAATAGGCTGAAACGAGGTAGGGCCTGCAGGCCCTCGTTTTTCAGCATCCAGGCTGAAACGAACGGGGCCTGTAAGCCCTAAGTTTTAGGCTTTTAGGCTGAATGTCCTGGACGGGCCCTGCAGGGCCCGTGTGGCTACGCAGTATGCCACAGGTAGTGCCACACCAAGGAAGCTCGAGGCAGACTCAGGCATGGCGGCTTAGTGAGCAGCGGCACAGATGCTTTGGGCTGTCCTTTGGACAGGAGTGCAGCAACATAGCTGCGGCGCATTCTCCTTTGCACAGGAGGGCAGAGCCCTTAGTATTCCGCCATAGCCTAGGCATGTGAGAGGAGGAAGAAGGGGGGAAGCCATAGTTATGGTGGACCTGTTGTTGTGTCAGCAGTAAGAAGGATATTGATTCTGGTTCATCCACTCATTGTTATTATTATTATTGGAAGAAGAAAGAAGAATAAGATTGGCGAAGTGAAGGAGGAGGAGGAAGGTGGAGAGAGAAGGGGGATTTGCCATTGGTCTTGCTGGTGTACATCTTCTTCTACTTCTTCGTCTTCTTCTTCTCTTTTTGTGGTCTCTATCTCTTTGCAAGTGCTTTCATTTCTTTTGCAATGGGGTGCCATTGTCTTTCATTGTGAATTTGCACTTTGGGAATGACCAGAATCGTAACAGTTTTTATGCTTTTTTGTTTGTTTTCTTAAATTCTTTGGCCTGTTTGTTTTTTTATGTTTGCAATACGGGCCCATACAATTTGTTTATGAAGTTTCTGCTCAATTTTCCACCGAAACTGTCGTCGAAAACGGTGAATTTTTGGCCCTTTGTTAACCACGTGTCGACCATATAGGATCACATGAGGCCTCACCCACTGACCTTATGAGATCAGTGGTGGACATCCTGCCATGCGCAGGAAGTCCTGTCATGGTTATGCCGCTGAAAAAAGAACCGGACTGATGGTGCCCAGAATAAAACCGGTTTCCGAAAAATTGAAACGGTTTGACCTATATCGCACGACGGACGCAGATCCCAGGGCTTGATCCCTGGACCTCATCTTTCCTATTTACAGTACCCGTTTGACCCAGTGTGTTTGAACCCGCGACCTATCCCTCAAAAATCGTATATTTTTGACTGCTGTACATAGATAGTCACGAGGTTTTGACCCGTAGACCTTAGATTTAGGAGTCGTAGGGTTAGCTAGGTAGTAGTTACAACAGTTCCGAAAGGTCAAGTCTAAGACCTTCTAGAAGCTCCGGAGCTGGCTCTTCGTAGGTCGTAGGGGTCACAGTCCGTTGGTGAGTCAGCAAGGGTCTGTCCTAGTACAGTCAGCAAAGGGCAGTCCCAGTCCTGCCTCGTCTACTCAGCGGTACCCAGTCCCGGTCACACTTTGTCTAGTCAGCAAGTACAATGTGGGACTGTGTACACCCCGGGCCCAGCGGCAAAGGCCAGACCAACAACGATACGAAGTATAAATAAAGTGGCAGCGTCAAGTCATTCATTCATTCTGCCTGTGAGCCGTGCGGAAGCGCTGTCGGAGAGTCTTGTGTATCAGACGTCTGCAGGTGCCCGAGGAAGAAGAGGGCTAAGAGGAGGAAGACGCGGCCATAGCCGCAAGTTAGAGTAGGAGACGGTAGCCATAGCTGCCACGTAGGATAGTGTAGTACATGTGTGTGTTTAGAGTGTGTATGTGTGCGGGACATTCAGGGTGATCCTAGTCAATGTGTAAATGTGTGTGTGTGTGTAAACAAGTTGCTGGTGGATACAATTGATCGGGTGGGAATCTTTGTTGGGCGCTGGGCGCCATAGCCACTCGAGACAAGTTTGAATCTGAACTGTGTTCCTGGCCACGCTCTTATCTCTGAGCTTTGTGTGGGCGCGCTGCACCAGTCGAGTCATCGTCTGTTTGCATGCATGCTGAAGCGAGAAGAACCCAGTCTGATTTCACTGGTATCAGAGCTGGTTACCCGCTGTCCCCTCGCCATCGCTGTCGTCATCGTGGTGGCTGATCGCCATACCCGCTGTCGCTGTCGAAGTGGCCGTCACCACAGCCAATCGCTATCGCCATCGTCATCGTAGTGGAAGGAGAGTGTCGTTGCGCGCTGTCGTTTGTCGCGCACGCCCGTTGTCATCGCGTGCGCCCCACTGCCAATCAGGCGCGCTCGCGCCCCGTTATTTCACGCACGCTCGTTGCCCCCGTGCGTCGCTATCGCCCGCCGCACCCCGCTGCCATCTGCGCGCCTCGTGGACTCCGCGCGCGCTCGCTGTTATTTGCGTGCGCCTAGCTACTGAACGTGCCCACTCCGCTACTATCTGCGCGGGCTCGTGCGCCGCTCTTGTTGCGCATGCCGCTGTTCCTTGCACGCACCATAGTTGAACCGCGTGCCGAAGAAGAAGACTATCGCACGCATTGGGGGAGATAAAGAAGACAGAGACGACGAGAGAGAGAGAGAGAGAGAGAGAGAGAGAGAGAGAGAGAGAGAGAGAGAGAGAGAGAGAGAGAGAGAGAGAGAGAGAGAGAG